GTAGAATTGCACAGCCGTCCATTTCCTGTATCCAGAGGAGCGCTTAACCACTGCGCCTGCAGGGCTTTTTAATCTGAACGCGGCAGTTCAGGAAACTGTTAGCTCATTCATTCGTGCAATGGCTATCAGGTGCTTTGTCAAAAAATGAGCTATTCTATAACAAGAAGCATGCTAGGATAGAGGAACGATGACTCAGTCCATTTCCATGAAGAATCATATTAGCTTTCATTGTTTTTGTAAATGGAGGCAGGCTCACTGTCTAAACAATCATCATCATCATAGATGCATTTCAGAGGCCTCTGTCCATGTCCCCTCACACCTACTTTTACCACCAACAGCCACATGTTGGACAAGTCCTTTTGGGACTTGGGATTAGCAATATGCCATAGATCCCTTTTTGTGAAATCAGAAATACATTATTTGATAGTGGCTGTATAAGAGTCTACTCTATCGAAATCGATTCCTTCATTTCAAACAGAACCAGGCTGATGGGGCTAGTTAGTGAGTTTGGATTGCTTGCTATTAAACGCATTCACAAACTTCCTGGAGGGGGAGTAATCTAACGGTAATTAAAAGCAAAAATTCTGAAGCCAAGTGGCTTCATATAAAAGTTCAGTTCCATTTCTAACCAATTACACAAGCTTGGTCCTGTAGCTTTCCCTCTCTGTGCTTCCTGGGTAAAAGTTAAGACATCAGAACCTCCCTCATTAAGTTGCTGCTCGCCACCCGTCGCCATAGGTAGTCTATGTGAACACCTTAGATTGCTGCCTCACAAACCCTAAGTTTTGCCATTGTTATATTTACATGTGGGCTTGGGGAAAGCCCTTAGAAAGAGCTAGAAACATAGAAAGTGCTAACTGTATCTACCAATGGTTTATCCATCATTTAACAAGAGTCATCCTTTCTAGGCAGGGATGAGAACTGGAAACTTCTGTCAATTGGGCCAGCCTGGTTGCACTGTGGGCAGATGGAGAGGAGCCCTGATGACGGGTGGCCTGGTTAAGCAACTCAGCTACTAACCAAGAGGTCAGCAGTTCAAACCATTCAGTCTCCATGGAAACCACAACCTCCGCTGCTGGTAAGTGTGTAACTTTGGCTAGTGGGTAAGTGGACACAGTCAACAGGCCAGTTCAAGGACCTGCAGGGAAGGACACAGGGAATTGTCTACCTACCACAACCATCCTTCCAAGTGGGGTTGGAAGACATTATGCTGAGTGAAGTTAGTCAATCAATAAAGGACAACAACCCTATGTGATCAAATCAAGGTTTTCATACCAAAAGAAACTGACTTTGATGGTTTAGGGGTCAAGGGAAAGGGGATGGATGGGGAAGTGAAAGACTAGAGGGGAGACTGGGGTTACTAGGTGAAGGGGAAGATTATATCCTACAAAAGAGGGAGAACTCAAGGAGGGGGAAAAAAAGAAGGTCAGACAGAAGTGAAATGAGGACATGGCTGGAAAGACAGGGTCGAAAGCCTGGCCAGAAGAAGCAGGCTAGCTGTGAGAGTTCGGTTTTTTGGTGCCAACATGGCTTCCTAGGAACATATGGGTGGAGTTTAGCCTGTTGATCAGGTAACAGCTTGATTGGAGGGTAACTGAAATAAATGGCTCTCTAGAGCCGGGCTCTTCCTCTTTCTCCCTGGTAATAGGACCACCATGCCACTGCCTGAGTTAGCTGCTCTGCCTCAACTGTGTGCTGCGCTACCTGTGGGCTGAGCCAACCCATGGATCATGCTGGATCGTGTTGCCATGCTGTGCAACCTTACGTATTGAGGCTCTATTATGACCTGCTTCACTAAGCTGCTACTGCCTGCTACTGGGCTCCATGGTCTTGCTGTCCGCGGGCCAATTTGATTCTGCTCACCTTGCCTGCAGACAGACTGTGTACCTCCCACCAACCACTTCAATGTCTGCTTCCTTGATGGTGGACCAGCAGCCTGCATGAGAAAAGACCTTCAGTGTATTAACTGTCCTACAAAAGTGAGTTGAACTGAGCCTTCTGTACTGTCATGTGGACTAATTAGCTGTTGTATTCCTTCTTGCTATATAAACCTATCCTTGTATATCATAAGTATCCTATTTTTTGTTTCTCTAGAGAACCCTGCCTAACACACTAGCAGAAACACTGCATGGAGTGGTTTAGGAAGAAGCCACAAAATACCAGATGGAAACTGGGGCTCTGGGAACAACATAACATAAAGGGAAAATATGTGGCTACACACAAATGGGCAACAGCTATTTGACAATAAAAGCAAGTCTTGTTGGCCTCAGAATATATGTAGAATTAAAATTCACAGTGGAGGGAAAAAACCCATACTTTGTACTAAGCCCAAATTTTGATTCGATTAATACAGAGTCATGAAATATTTCGATTTGCCTTTGTACCAGTCCAAAAGCTATCGGCCTGAACCTCTTCTAGGGTAGATAATAAATTATTTCTTTCCTTCATCATCACCGTTATTGTCATCAGAAAGACTAAATGTTTGTGATACCATCAGTACTAATGGCTTCTGGAGCCAGAAATGATGCTCTATTTTACAAAAGGGCAAAAGCACTCTCTCTGGGTTACACAGAAAACCCTGGGCATCATACAGAGGTGAGTGTGCTCAGAAATACTCCCCAGTCCCTTCACCTCCAGAACCTCAGCCCATGCTCGGGGGAGGGGAGGAAGTCGGGTGTGCTGGGGTATATATAATTGGCATCTCACTGGTTTTCTTTCCCATATTAAGAAAGGCAGTTGTGTGTGTGTGTGTGTGTGTGTGTGTGTGTGTGTGTGTGTGGTATTTTAAGTAGTCAAACAGTTTGAACACCCCCCCTCCCCCCAAATGCGAGTCCAAAGTCAGAAATCCGTTTCCTATGGTCTGCGGATAATTTAATATTTGAGAAGCCTTTTCAACATCCTCCAACTCCAACCAAAACTAAAACAACACTTAGGGAAAAAATGATAAGTGCACAAATAAAACCCAATACCTATATAATTATCTGCAGCTCAATCCATTTAGAGACAATAAAATAGAGCGGCATTTCAGCTCACTCAAGTCCAAAATCATGGAAGCCCCGCTCGTCATGTATTCAAATTGCAAATATTCACTGTCCGAACAGCAACAAAGATGCCGCCTAATTTCACTGTTCGTACATTTGGGATGGTGGCTTTATAACTCGAAGGATTCAACATCAGCACTGTCTGCAGTTTAATTTAGGACATCACAAGTGATAGCGTTTTGATTGGCTCTGGTCCTCGTTCTCCAGAGAACACAAGTAAAAATATAATACCCAGCTTGGGAGCCCCTGGAAGAACAGGGGAAATGCACCCTCAGAGACATACAAAGAGCATCACTGGGGCTCTGTCTGCCAGCACCCCTCCTTCTTCCAGTAACAGGCTGCGCTCTATTTGGGACACTGACCACAGCGCACCCGTCTCAACCCTAACCCTTGCTGCCAGCCACAGTCTTTGCGGTGGGAGCGCCACTGACACCTGCCCACCGTGGTGACCACGCTGGCACTGGGAATCCCAGGGACACGGGGTCCAGCACCATAGTAACACAGAGCCGCAGTCCGATGGGCGGAGGACCTGAAGCTTAGGCAGCCTCAATCAGTGAGCTTCTTTACTGGTTGGCCTCCCCATTCTGCTTCTATGGGTCTGCCTCCTAATGCTCTCTGTGACCGCCCCCCACCCCTCAAGGCTCACTGGGCCCAGGGTAGCACTGGCCCCGCCTGAGGCTCCCCAGTCCAGTCACCCCCGGGATTCCAAGTGCATACCCTTCCTTTGAGGACATGCCACCCGCACGGTGGTGTCACTGGGCTTGCCAAACCTGCTCGGGCCCCACCTCAGGGAGGGTGCTCTATTCACCACCTGTCTGCACCACCCCGGCTTCTCCTGCCCCACAGGCCGGTCACGGAACGAATCAAGGCTGGCTCCTCAGTGCTTGTCCAATCTGGTCTCACCCCCTCCCAAGCACTCAGTGTCCCTCACCTCCGTCCCAGGCCAGACTCCTGCCCCGTCAGCACCTCTTGGGTTTCCTGTGAGGCCTGACTTGCCGTCCCGAGAGAAACATGCATGAGAACCTCCTGAAGCCTCAAGCCCTCTATCTCTGGGGTTCCAACCCTCCCGGGTCTTTGCCTCTGCCCATTCTGAATCAGCTCCTCTCTCCCGAGGGGAGGGCTCCACCCCCTTGGAAAGGGAGGGCTCACCCCCTCCCACCCCTCTCATCACGATCAACACAGGATGGCTAGGAAAGCGCAGCCGTTCCTTTGGAGGGTTTTGCTAACACGCCCTTTAGGCCTTCACTCTGGAGACAACGCAATTAGCCAGGCCTATTTCTGCGATTTAGAAAACGGCAAGCCCTCGCATTCCAATCAGGAGGACAAAGGGTCCCTCTGGGAAACCAGGGTCAGCCCGTTCTCGGGAGCTTCAAGGTAGCTGCGCGCTGCCGCACAAGGAAAATGACTCTCTGAAGTCTTTTTAACTGGGCCAGTTGTGGCAGCCCGGGGGACGGCGGGGTGAATCCTAGATGAACAGACCCTTAGCCAACATCAGCCCACCAGCACCTACAGCCTAAAGAAGCATGGGAGGTACCACCCATGGTTTCTGGGTTCTCTGGACCCACAAGCCCCTGGCCTGCCACACAAGGGCACCAAGACCCCTGAACTTGCCTCTGTGAAGAGCGAGGTGGGGACCTGGGTCCACGCACTCCCATCCTTGGTCCTGTGTGTACTCTCTGCCTTGATAACTCGGGGCAACCGAGTCCTGGTCACTGTTCTTGCCAACTGTCCAAGGGCCGAGGGTCTGTCAGTAACTCGGACTCCCTGATGACATCTCTGAGATTCACTGCTGTCATGACACACACACACTACAAAGGAGTAACAACTACCCACTGGCCTGGTGAGTGAGGTAATTAAGTATGGAAACGAAGGCAAGAATGACCAGGGAGGGGAACCATGAACATGCCAACCACAGGGCTCTGCAAGCAACGACGGCGAGCTTGGAGGACAATGCCTTACCAGGACGGTGTGCATTCCAGTGTAGAGTCGGCTGAGACACACCAGGGTAGAGAACACCACGGCCATCGTCAGTCCCAAGGCAAACGGATACTGTGGAGACAAGGGATCAGTGAACGAGAGGCCCAGACGGTGCTCACACCCAGGGTTTGCTGCTGCATGCCGATGGGAAGAACAGCCAGTCCTCCACCAGGGCGGCTCTGAATTGCACATTCCCCAGACCAGAAACCTGACGATCTGCACCCATCTTTCAATGGAAGGAAGGTGGGGTTGAGGGGCAGAGGAATGTGGCTGTGCCAATAAGACTCAGTAGAACCCTGCTTTCCGTCGTGTTTGCAGTTGGTGTGGATTAAATCGCTCTGTCTCCACCTGGGTGTAGACTGTAGTTGTTCGGTTCAGTTGCGGTGGGCTCTGACTCACCAGGACTCCACAGACAACAGGAAACCCCGCGTGGCCCTGGTCCTGCACCGTCTGCATAGTCAACACCACGCATGAGCTCCCTGTTGCAGTCACTGGTCGGTCCATCTCACCAAGGGTTTTCCTCCTTTTTGCTGACCCTCCACTGGACGATAGGCAGGATGTCCTTCCCCAGGGACAGGTCCCTTGTGACAACATGTCCAATGTAAGTGAGACCCAGTCTCGCCATCCTTGCTTCTAAGGAGAGTTGCTCATTTCTCTGGAAGCCCATGGTCCAGTCAGCATTCGCCACCAACACCACCAGGCAGAGCCACACCTCGTCAGGCTGCGTGTATCGGGCAGGGGCGACGGGAAATGCTGGCATCTGGAGGTCA